CATAGTAACTATTGCCTTAAAACTTACATTTTACAAAACTCTTTTTTTTTAATGCATACAGAAGTGCATTGCTGTTATTATTCTTTTATAAGAACGTAAGTTTAACCAAATCTATAATTACTGCTACCTTTTGAATTTTCCATAAAGTGTAGTAGTTTCTTCATGAAATATTTTTATATCCATACATATGTAAAGTGCTGCATACACTAAAACACACACACACACACAGCAGTATTGCTTATATTATGACATAAGAAATAATTTTAGGTTCAAAACTTTCTAAAATGTAGGGATAGATAGATAGATAGATAGATAGTGTTCCCCATATTTTCAAGACTGTGTTTATAGTTGAAAAAAGTCTTGTTTAGAAAAGCTTAAAATAAGAATGTAATGAGTAACAGTGTATAAGTAAAATAAGAATAAAAAGAGATCTGTTCACAGTAAAGGTTACCACACACTTATTACCATGGTGTGTGGGCAACTTTGTGTCACAGCAGTACAAGACTTATCACTTCAATTTGTATGTTTGTTGTGAAGGCAACAAGTAGAACTTATCCTTCATGTATGTGTTCGCTTGATGTAAATTTGCTTGTTGACAGTGGATAAAACAAAATGGCTGTTTTTAGGCAAAGCTTTGTTGCAGTATTAAACAGTTCATAACCAGAATATTTCGGATAATTTGATTTTTTTCTTTGACCAAATTCATCATTTCTTGTGCATTTGAAGAATTTAATTATAACAGTCTTACAGAAATCAATTTTAGTGAAAAATATGTTATTTTTCGTGTGATCTTTTATTCCATATGGGCTGCCAGTTTCATTGCAACATGTTGCCATCACTAGGAGTCAGATCAGTCATTCTTTAAACTTTGTCTTTTTTATCCAGCATTTTCTTCAGAATTTATTAATGGAAATAGAGAATGCCTGTATAAATGATAAATAATGTAATAATTATCATTAATTTTATGTATAAATGATTTCATACTTTTGTCCCTAATGTTAACGTCATGTGATTGTTAGTTTTATGTATCGTAGAGAATATTGGAGTCAAAAAACTCATTCTATATCTAAAAGTGGTATGAGTTCCAGAAAAAATAGCTATTTAATCAGCATTTTTGCTTCTGTTTTATCATGAAAAAAGGTGAAATGTTGGTTAGATAACAGTAATAATAAACAATTTTGGAACTTAAGTTGTTTTTAGTTTCAAAATGTAAAACAATTTGCACCCAAAAATGTTTAGATACAGTTGATTGTTCTGTTTTGTTGGCAATGCAAATGAATGAAGTATTTTATTTAGTAGTGTACATATTGATGATATCACATTTTCCACAATGCTTATCATCAGTTAGAGAGTGTAATATAGAAAACCATTAGCAACATGTATAAGTAGTTGAATAAAATAATGTTGTAAGACAATAATGTTATTGGTCTCAGAATATCTCAAAACTAATCAGAAATTTCAGTACATAAAGGTTTATTGAATAATTTACAGTGACTTTTGATATTTGGCTTAATGTTTTAGCATTATAAAGAACTCTGAAGGCTGATCTAACTTACAATCGTGTTAGTTCAATTAGAGTTGGCTCATATACCCACCACTTATTATGCTTAGGATTAGGTATCTGGCCCTTTATGTGTATCTGTTAGTTTTTTTCGTATAAGCTCATTATCATAAAAATTGGTAAGATATTAGTTGTTAAAAGATGGTTTTTGCAGCTCCTATGTACCTGATTTATTTCTATAGATACCTATTAAGGTGTCCTAATTTTTTAAGTTTTGATTTACAACATTTTTGCCTCCTCCTTTTGTTACGAAGTAGTTGAAATTTTAACTTGTACCTTGCATTATATTTGCATATTTTAAATATTTTAGAATGCTCCAGAAAATTCTAAATAATTCTGGAAGTTCTAGATCATTGTGAAGTGTTCTAGCATATTATTGTGGAATATACCAGAGTGTTCCACATTATTCAGAATATTCAAGAGCAATCCATTTATAAATAACCCATGCTGTCACATTTTATTTCAAGAATATTCTGTATGACATGATAGTAATTTCTAGAGATGATTATCAAGAAATATTTGAACTAGCCATAACCTTTCTTGGTGACTTCTCTATTCATACATTGCAAATTATAGCACCTATAGCAGTACATCAGGCAAGATTTGGATGTTAATGGGACAGTTTAAGCTCCCTGGTTGTGAGGAAAGAGAACTCCATGACATCTACGTCTTTGTTGTTTGAGTCTGCCTTACAGCATGTTTTACTTCTCTTGATGCCATTTCTGCTCCTTACAATGTCTTGTTAAGTATAAGAAGGTGAATTCTGCTCTTTTAAAATTTGCTGGATATATATTGTATCTCAATGAGGAGATAATTGGTTTGGCATTCTTTGATTAAGCTGTATACACAGAGACAAAACAAATAATGGTAATGGCACTAAATGAGCAGGAAGACATGAATGAACCTCCAAGGTAGATCCAGCTGAATATCAGGAAACCTGAGGATATGTTAATTGAACATTCATCACAAAGAACACAACAGACTTTGCTAGGTGCCTCAAAATTCCACATAGATTTCTGGATTATATTCCTGAGTGATGGGAGATCAGAGAGGACTACAGGGAGGCACTACACACAGTTCAACACTTGAATGTGGTGAATGACAATGATGAAATGGGCGTGGCCCTTATTGAGGAGCATAATCTATATGTATAAAATCCATTCTGTGTTTGTAACTCTCTCTTTGTTGGTCATGTTTGACTGTATGTTGGTAACATTTAAATTAGCTCAGTGGTTTGTTGCAAACAAAAGTCTTGAGTTCAAATCCCAGTTGAGTGGGGATTTTGTATAACTTCTTTTAATTATTAACTAATCATTGTTTAGAGCAATATGTTACAGTATTAGGAAAAACCAAACTAACATGACAGTTTACATTAGGGATTTGGATTATTTGTTAACATTCGATTACAAATAGTGGGTGTCACAGTGGTTATAGTGCTGGACTATCATATGGAAGTCTTGCATTCAAATCCCAGTTTGGTTGGGATTTTATGTTATTTTTTTGTTTATATATTTGTTATCATATTTACAACAAGCTCTTTGAATATTCAGAAAGATATGATACAATTATGGATTAAATCAGGGATGATTCGTATTACATAATATATACCAGTAACTGTATGTATCAAGAACAACATAAATGTATTTTCAACCAAATAGATGGCGCTACAATACATTATTATTGACGTTTTTTTACTTTAGGTAAGAAATTTTTATAATTTTTTGGTCAAAAAATTGATAAGTATTTTTAGGGAAAGTTATACTTTAGTGCATTTTCCCTACACCATAGAATTCTTTGCATTTAATAAATCGCAGGTTCAGACATCTGACCTATAAATATGGTCCAAAATGGATGAAGTTTGACATTTAATGGTTTTTTTTCTACTTTGGAACAAAATTAGGGGATGAAAACTTTAGAATTTTTAACCTGAAGTTTTACCAACAAATCTGGACCACCATAATGCCTATGTCAAATAATCACATCCGTATTGTGTAAGTGACCACTGGTTGAAATGTTTCAACTAGTGAAAAATAATATTCATATTACATCAAACATATGTAAAGTGTAGAAGAGTTTAATTCATTTGTTATTATCTGGTTTGTACGTTTATACAGTGCTTATATAAGGGCACTGACAGACATTTCGAAGAACTTGGTAATATGAAAATGGAAATTTATTACTTTAAACTGTCACAACTATATATATATATATATATATATATATATATATATA